TCGTTTAGTATTTCTTGTCACAGCTGTTTGCGCTGCGTTTATTAAGTGTCACAATACAGTGATACTCAAACTGTTCGCTACATATATTTTAAGCTAAATACATCAGCTCCTAAATTGTTGTGTGTGTTGTGTTAAACTTATTTTGCTTGTCTTTTTATTAACATAAGTGTTATTAAATCTTTCAATATGAAGTGTGATCTTGATAACTGCCAAATTAAAAGCGAATCTGAACGCTACTTATCGTGCTGGCTCTGTGATGGTATTTGCCATCTAAAATGTGCTGGTTTGACAGGAAGAATTCTGGACGCTATTAATGATGGCAAAGGTCTTCGCTGGTCTTGCTTAAAGTGCAGGTCAACCGAAGTTGATCTCTTTAAGTTGTTTAGGCAAACCAGAAATGGGTTTTCTGAGGTAGGGAGAGAGTTGTCGGTACTGACCGAAAAATTTAAACATTACGAAAATGTATTTAAATCTTTTAAATGCTTAGATACCGTACAATCTATGAAGGACATTCGTGTGTCAAAACGTAAGCGTCTTCATAGTCCGCCTAATGAAAGGACCGTTCCACGTCAGAACAATCTTCCGAATGACTTAATTAATCTTTCTTCTCCATGTCCACAGACAACGGAGTTATCTTCCTCAAAAGAACATATATCAAAGTCTGCTTCTAATAATAACGACCCTGCAGTATCTTCCCCGTCCCCCGTTGAAGTTGTGGCACCGCCATCTAATCTTCCAACGCTTACTCTACCCTCAATTAGTAACTCAGTTACTCAACCCCGTCCGCCGGTAATCGAGTCTAATACTAGGAGACTGGTTGTGGTTCCCCCAAAGAAGTCTATATTTGTATCTAGATTTTCGAGGGATACTTCCGAGGACGATATAAAGTTTTACATCTCGTCCAAAGTTAAAACTGTCAACTTAAGTATCAGAAAATTTAATTTTAAATATGAAAGAAATATTTCTTCATTTAAAATAGACGTAAATTTAGAAAATTTTGACATGCTGCTTAGTAGTTCTTTTTGGCCCTCCGGAGCTTTCGTTCGTGAATTTGAGTATAGGCCCAACAAAAATAATAATTTAGCAAATATTCCCCGTCAGAATACAGAACCAAAAAACTGATTACTAAATCTGCTTTAAGTATTTATTATCAAAACGTAAGAGGCATAAATACTAAATTAACGAATTTATATCTTAATGGCCTTGAATGCAATTATAATATAATTTCTTTGACTGAAACTTGGCTCAAACCTCACACTTTTAATTCAGAGATTCTTTCAAATAATTATCATATCTACAGAAAAGATCGGGAGGACAGAGTCGGCGGTGGCGTACTCTTTGCCGTAGACTCTTCAATACCATCTGAAGAAGTTAGTCTTCCACACATTGAATCTGCAGAATTCAAATGCATTCGTGTTCAGGTTGGAAGGGGGTTTACTTACTTAGCTCTATGCTATATTCCTCCCCGATCTGACTTATCAGTGTATTCACAACATGTATCTTTACTGAAATCAATTAATTCAATGATTAAACCCTCTGATTCATTGATTGTGTTGGGTGACTTTAATTTACCAAATGTATCATGGAACATCATTGACAATGATATTGTACCTTTCTCGTCTAGCGCGTGCAACAACGTATTTTTAGAGGAGATGGCTGAACTCTGCCTGAATCAAGTTAATGTACTTCGCAATAAGTTTGGCAAAGTATTAGATCTTGTTTATGTTGATGATGCATCTAAGTCGGCTGTAAATAAATGTGACCCACTAGTTTTGCCCGAAGATGTCTACCACCCTGCTATTGAGATATCTTACGAAATTATAAACGATGGTCAAAATTGCGATGTCCAAACATACGAACCAAATATTCGCTTTGATTTTTCGAAAGCCAACTTTAAAAAACTGAATAAAGAATTGTCTAAATTGTCGTGGCCTATATACAAAGAAAAAGTTGAGCAAAGCGTTGCACATTTTAATTTTACTGTACATAGATTATTTGAAAAGTATGTGCCTAAACGCATGTGTGTTCCTGAAGAACAAACACAGTTATGGTTCACTAAAGAACTGAGAAACTTGAAAAACAGAAAGTCACGTTATTTTAGATTACAAAAAAAAACCGGCTTACACTCATACTATGTAAAATACTCACTTTTGCGTCACAAGTTCTTTGAATTAAACAAAAAGTGTTATAAAGATTACTTGTGTAAAATCAAACGACGTATAATATATAACCCCAAATCATTTTATGATTTCGTAAACTCCAAGCGAAATGTACGTGGGTTTCCTTCCGCCATGAAGTATCAAAATACCGTCTCTGGTGATAATCAAACAATTTCTAACATGTTCGCTCAGTTTTTTAAATCCAATTATTCCACTAACTCCCAAGCATACTTTGACTATCCTTTTAAACTAAGTCCAATTAACTCAATACATAACCCTATAATATCTCCCGATGATGTTTTAGTTTACCTGAAGTCCTTAAAGCAGTCTTTTAGTTATGGTCCTGACCAGATCCCCACTTGTTTTCTTAGAAATTGTGCTGATTATCTCTATGAGCCGTTAACAGCCTTATTTAATTTGTCTCTTAAAGAGGGCGTTTTTCCAACTGTATGGAAGGAATCGTTCATAACCCCCTTACATAAAAGCGGTAGCAGGTCTTCAGTGGAGAACTACCGGGGCATAGCTAAGCTCTCTGCAATTCCTAAATTATTTGAAGCAATTATAACAAATCGGTTGACGCATTCTATCACTTCAAGCATTTCATACAGTCAACATGGATTTTGCAAGGGCAAATCAACTTCTACAAATTTACTTGAATTAACATCCTATATCTCAAAAGCATTTAGTGAGAGCAAAACTGTTGATGTTATATATACTGATTTCAGTAAAGCATTTGACAAAGTGTGCCACTCGTTGCTCATCTATAAACTTGATCTTCTTGGTCTTCCACCTAATTTTCTACGTTGGATCTCTTCATACCTCTATGATAGATCACAAAGGGTATTGTTTAAAAATACTATCTCTGACGTCATTGATGTTACTTCAGGAGTCCCTCAGGGTAGCCACCTAGGCCCGATTCTGTTCTTGCTTTTTATAAACGATATTTCTACAGATATAAAATTCTCCAAAATTTTAATGTATGCAGATGATGTAAAACTTTATAAATCGTACGTTTCAATTAAAGAAAGGTCTTTGCTACAATCAGACTTAAACAGCATGGCTTACTGGTGTAAAGTAAATCTTATGCCTCTAAATCTTAAGAAATGTAAAGTAATGTGCTTCTCGCGAAGAGCTGTTCTGCCAGTTTCTTATATAATAGGTAACCATAACCTGGAACAGGTATACAATTTTGTGGACCTTGGTATCACAATGGATCCTAAGCTTAATTTTAATCTTCACATTAATGTGACAGTCAACAAGGCTAAAGGTGTACTTGCATTTGTGAAACGATGGTCAAAAGAATTTAGTGACCCTTATATCACTAAAACCCTGTTTACAACATTAGTTAGGCCGATTCTGGAATACGGCTCGGGGGTTTGGAATCCAAGGTATCAAATTTACTCAGACAAGATAGAATCAATTCAAAAACAATTCCTACTTTTTGCTTTAAGAAATTTCCGATGGGATTCTCAATATAGTCTTCCACCTTATACGAGTCGCTTAAAACTTATTAACCTTCCTACACTTGCCAGTCGCAGGGAAATGCTTGGTATAATTTTTATGGTTAAATTACTGACAGGCTCAATTTCAAGTCCGTCTCTTCTGGCTGATGTAAGCTTTAATGTTCCGTCACGCGTATCAAGACACTTTTGTCCCATATTTCTGAAAGCTTGTAAAACCAATTTTGAATTGCACGACCCACTCCGTTGCTTATGCCAGGATTTTAACTCTCATTCCAGCACGTTTGATATATCAGATCCGCTTTTCAGCATTAAGAAAGCGATACTCTCCTCTCTCAATAAGTGAATTATTGACATAAATACATAAAATCAGCTGATGAATTTAGTTCTGTAGCTGAACAGTTTTAGATCTCGACACTTAACAAACTCCTGCCTATCGTGACTCGGCACAAAAATTTAAAATATTGGTTCCGTACGTCATGCGGACTGCGCCCCTCGTGCGGATGGGCGGGAATGGAGGGTAAAAACCGTTGGGATATTATTATTATTATTATTAAAATATTTGCAAGCAAAAGAAGTACTAAAAATAAAGACTGAAACAAAATGTACAATGAAAGAAGCAAACAAAATATACAAATCCCGGAATCCCATCTTACCAAACTCCCAAACCTTCGTCTCAGCCCTAAAACCTAACAATGAAATTGAAACAAACTCTGCACATACAAACAACATATCTGCACCAAAGCCAAAACAATCTACCAACAACACTACTCTTCTCAGCGAATCCCCCAAAGCCGGTTTCGTCGAGCAGAAAGTCTTAAAGAAAAATAAAACTCACAGCATCCAGTCAACTAGCAATGAGCCGCAATCATCTGACCTACAAGACCTCTCTACAACAGTAGCAACAACATATCCAATGAACCACGACAACTATCATTTCCCTTCCTCCTCAAATCACAATACTTTCAATAACACTACTGAAACAAATTCGAGTAAACAAACACCAGACACAATGGAATTCGAAATAACTCACCAGCGAGCAAAAGACGAAAACTACAAAACGCACTCACCACATCCCATCAACAATAACGTCTTATCATCTGCAACAACAACAGCTTTAAAAGAATACATCAAATCCAAAACAGCCCCCAACAAAACCACTCATACACCACACACACATACACTAACAATAACATTCAACGCTTTCTAACATTAATTTTGCACCTACATACGTAATTATATTTATATATATATATATTTATACACAGATTATCTAACCTTTATATATACCTATACTTACATTTACATTTATATTCTCGTTTACATCTACATCTACATTTACATTTATTCTTAACTTGCACCTATTTCATAAAACCCGGTTTATATTTAAACAAACATTCAACATGGCCTTCACAATCATTCAGTGGAACATCAAAGGCTATCTCAATAACTACAATGAACTTGATTTACTAATCAGAGATACCCATCCTAATGTAATATGCCTTCAGGAAACTCATATCCCGTATAATACTAAGAATATTATTATCCCAAAAGCCTATGTGGGGTATTTTCACAACTGTGTTAATAACAAAAACCCCAAACAGGGCGTCGCAATCCTTATCAAACATAACATTCCCCACCGAATAGTATCATCGACCATCCAATTAATATCCATTGAAATAAAGCTTACATTTCCAATTACTATCATTAACACGTACATCCCACCATCCCAAACTTTCTGTGAGGCAGATATCTGCTCTCTACTCTCCCGTTCAGTAAGTCCACCCATCCTACTAGGAGATTTTAATGCTTGGAGCCCTCTGTGGGGCTCTGAAAAGTCCAACAAACGAGGTACCATAGTTGAGAATGTAATTTTCGCTGAAAACTTAATTATTTTGAATGACGGCTCCCCCACCCATTTTTCAACCCACAACACATTCACAAACATTGATTTAACGCTGGCATCTGCACAGTTAAGCCCCAAATGTAGCTGGAGAACGCTAAGTAGTCTGTACGGTAGTGATCATTTTCCCTTACTTTCGGTCATTCAAACCAAGCTAAATCCTTGTCATCTCACCAAGTCCCCGAATTTTAATACCGACGCTGCCAACTGGGATATGTATCAAACCACTTGTGAAAAAAACTTTAAAAACTGGAACACCTCCAATGTTCGTCAACTTGCGGCCAACATCACAAAAGCAATCAGGTCCTCGGCCAATGTGGCCATTCCACAAAGCAAAACAACTCCTTTAAAAATCTACGCGGCATGGTGGAATAAAAATCTTAGTACCCTAAGAGCAGAAAAACAAAAGCTGTGGCATATTTATAAATCATCTCCCTCAGTCCCCAATTTAATTGCCTACAAAAAGGACAATGCAATTTTTAAAAAAAGTGTCAAGGCAGCGAAAGCAGAATCTATCGGAAAATTTACTGAAGACATCAACCCCTCCTACTCACCCAAAAAAAACTGTTCGAAAATCAAAGCCCTTACCGGAATCCCTCCAACTCCCATTAAAGTTATCCAGCTTTCCAATCAGCTATTTTCCTCACCCTTAGAAATAGCCAACATTTTCGGCGAAACCTGGTCGAATTACGCTCATGACTCCAACTTCCATACAGAGTACATCAATAGAAAAAGCACAATACTCTCCCAATCTTACAACCCATCCAGAGTGGCAACTGATGCACCATACTTAGAAAAGGAATTCAGCTATATAGAGCTGGAACATGCCCTCCAACATTCTAAAGGGAAAACCCCCGGCAAAGATCGTATATCCTATCCCATGCTGCGACATCTCCCAAACCGGTGCAAAAATATTTTATTAGTCTTATACAACAAAATCCTTGAAAGCGGCACATATCCCCACACCTGGCTTTCCGCCACCCTCCTTCCGATCCCAAAACCTAACCAAGCTATAGATAATATTAACAGTTACCGGCCGATCTCCCTGTTGTCCTGTTTAAGAAAAATCCTCGAGAAAATGCCCACAAAACGCTTAATGTGGTTCTTAACCAAAAACCACTTGATAAGCCACAACCAAGTTGCATTCAAAAAGAATCACAACACCCTTTATGCTCTACTTCTTCTCCAGCATTTCATCTGTGATGCTATATCAACAAAAAACCATGTATCCGTGCTATCTACGGACTTCGAAAAAGCTTTTGAGCGCGTAGGGGCCCACGTAGTTCTAGAACAACTCGCTTCATGGGAAATAGGCAGCAGAATGTACAACTTAATTAAGTCATTTCTCTCCATACGTAGTTTCCAAGCCAAAGTCAGTGGCACCTACTCGGAAACTTTTCCACTTGCTAATGGTATCCCCCATGGCTCCCCCCTCTCGGTCGTCCTATTCAAAAACTCAACGTAATGATCTCCAAATACCGCGGCCTACATCTTAATGTCTACGCTGACGATGCAGTATTTTATACTAAAGAGAAAGACACAAAGAAAGTACAAGACGTATTTTCCAACTTACTTGAAGACATACGTTCTTGGGGTATTTCTTCTGGAGCTATCCTATCCGTCAACAAATGCAAAATACTCCATATATGCCGTAAACATCACTGTTCTCCGATACAAGTAAACACAGCCAATAACAATATAGAAAATGTAAGTACATTAAAGCTGTTAGGTATAATCTTTGACAACAAATACACATTCAAATACCAATGCACTGAACTCAGAAAAAAACTAATCCCACGTTTGAACATAATAAGGTACTTGTCATCAAATCGTCTCCGCATCCACACTAACACGCTTGTCAACCTGACACAATCTCTAGTTCTATCCAAAATTGACTACGGACTCCAAATATACGGTTGGTGCGCCAAGTCCCATCTAGCTCTCCTCAACAAACCATACCACACATCAGTGCGGTGCAGCATTAAAGGCTTTTCTACTTCCCCCACAAAATGTGTGCTAGCCGAGGCCGGTCTTCCATCAATTATTGATAGATGCCAAGAAACCACATACAAACTTATCCCCAAATTAATGAATACGACCAGCAAACTCCTGTTTGACACTCTTCGTAGCGCTTCCCGAAATAAACGCAGACACTCAATCGTATCCACCTTACGCCATTGCATCGCCTACTGTAAAGACTTGGGGATAAAAATACCATCTAGTTGCAAAAAAGTGAGTCGACACGCACCTTGGATATTATCACCCTCATCCTTAAATATACAATTACATAATTTTCCTAAAAGCACCACATGCAAAACCACATTCACTCAACTTTTCAACCAGATAATAAACATTGAAGACCTATTTGACTGGTGCCCGATTTTTACTGACGGATCCAAATCCGAACACAATACCGCTTTCGCCGTTGTGAAAGAAAACGGAGACCTTATATATGGCGGATCTCTGCCTCTATATGCCTCCATCTATACTGCGGAAGCCGTCGCAATACTGAAGGCAATCGATTACGCAGTAATCAAAAAAGGGAAGTTTGCAATTTTTTCGGACAGCTTCTCCGTTATCGAAAGTATAAAAAATATATACAACGACAACCAAATTGCTAGTCAAATCCGAGACCAGCTAATTAAGCACGCTGATAAAATAAAAATCGTCTGGATTCCCAGTCACGTAGGTATCAAAGGCAATGAACACGCAGATTTAGCAGCCAAAAATATGTATCTTACCCCCACCATATCATTTGACTCTCCTTCCAGAAAGGACCTCGTTAAATACATTCAAAGCCATATATACACTCTAAAACTTAATTCCTGGTCTCAATTCAATCATCCATACATGCAATATAATCCCCAGTGCAAGAAATCTCTTTTCCCTCCCTCAGTTTCCAGATTACTAACAAGTGTTTTCACGCGTCTCAGGATAGGCCATACCAAACTAACCCATCAACATCTCCTCCTTGGCGACCCTTCTCCTGTATGTCCGCTTTGCGGGGACCATCTCAATGTAACACACATCCTAGACTCATGTTCCCCATTATCCTCAAAACGCACCTCCAATTTTGGTACCACCTTACCATCCTCACTATTAAAAGATATAAATGTAAGTAATATAACTACGCTATTTAACTTTTTAAAAGAAATAGATTTACACAAATCTTTGTAAAACTAGCTTTACTACCTACAATCCTCAACACGATGTTCATATTAATTAATTACAATAGCACCGTAGGCCTCAGCAGCTAGTGTGCAATTAATGTTAGTGCAATATTTTATATTTCTCTAATAAATAATAATAATAATAATAAATCCATATGAGAACATAACCAAAGGTAAATACACCTCATTTTACCTACCCCATCATGCGGTTGTAAAACCAGACAAAAAACAACCAAGGTAAGGGTAGTCTTCAACGCCTCGAAATGTACAAGTTCGGGCAATTCCTTAAATGACATTTTGTACACAGGACCCACATTACAACCCGACTTAGGGCCGGTTACTCAATGTCTGGTTGACACTAATCTCCGTTTAAACATAGTTATCGACGTTACCGACTCCCTGATGTATGCACGAAGTCGAAGACGTCGATAACGATGTTTAACCGCAGATTAGTGTTAACCGGACATTGAGTAACCGGCCCTTAATGCTTCTGATTCTAATGTGGCGTATGTTCAAATACGTATTTAACGGAGACGTCGAAAAAATGTATCGACAAATACTCGTACATAAAGACGATCAAGACTTTCAGCGCATTATATTTCGAAATTCACCTAATAGTCCAATATGTGACTATAAACTCAAAACGGTGACAACTCAGCAGGGTTCCCCCTAAAAAAGATAACCGCCAATCACCCCGAAATCCTTAAAGATATAAATAAAGAACATTAATTAGATTCAAACTTCCTAATATTCGAAAAGGAAAGTACAACAAAAACCCTGGGCATACAATGGAATGCGATCTCAGATAAATTCTCATATACTCTTGAGTCGATATCTGCTCAATCCGCAATAACTAAAAGACAAATTCTGTCGGCTGTAGCGAAACTTTTTGACCGCGCAGGATGGCTTTCGCCAATTATGATACAAGCGAAAATCCTGATACAAGAATTATGGCTAGACGGAACCGAATGGGACGAGCAAGTGAAACCACTTCGCTTGGTAAAATAGTCCCAATTTGCTAACAACTGATGGGTAAATTACTCCTCCGAATACCAAGTAGAACTGCATGGCTTCTGCGAAGCCTTGAAAAGGCATATTGCGCAACTATATTTGTGTGCACCCAAATTAACAGCACAATTTCAAGCCATTTGTTAGTAGCAGAGGCCAAAGTGGCACCTCTCAAAACACTAAGTCTACCACGACTTGAACTGTGTGGCGCGCTTCTACTCGCAAAATTAGCCTCAACTGTGCAAACGCATTTAAACATGACCAATCAAAAATTATATCTATGGTCAGACTCAGGGATCGTCTTAGCTTGGTTAGAAAAACCACCCCACTCATGGAAAACATATGTTTCCAACCGCACAGCCCAAATACTTGATTTAGTTGGGCCAGCAACTTGGCGACATGTAGCCAGTGCTGATAACTCCGCCGATCTTGGCACAAGAGGTTGCAAACCCCTGCACCTCGCCACCACCTCACTCTGGTGGAACGGCCCCAGCTGGCTAATAGAATCATAACAATTCTGGCTACAATCCCCCATACGCAACATAATTGCCCCAGAAAGTCGAAAAGTTGCAACCTTTCACACAATATTGCACCCAGAAAAAGGTTTAGTTATAATAACCAAGATTTGGTTATAGTGATCAAGTGGCATAGTTGGATATGGCGAAATAAATATATAGTTCACGAAAGTCTGCAATTTACTTAAGACTTCTAGTTGGGACAAATGTATATTTGTTAATAATTACAAAACGACTACCTTGATTGGACAATATTGTTAGTTGAATAAAGTCATTGTTGAGCAAATATAAACAATGCTTTGGTTGATACAAGTTTTCAATTAATTTTGTGAACTTGCTGTAGACTTGAATCAGCTAGCCGTTTATTATTGGGAGAAAAGTTTCAGTTTGACACAAATAAAAATTTACTCGATGTTTGTTGTGTATACTTTCTTCTTTTATTTGCATATATTAAGCATAAAAAATACGTACATATTTACATAAGTTAGTTACTAAAGTAAATAATACATAGATATGTATATGGTGGTAAGAATTTCGTAAAAAAACAACGATGATACAGGAACAGTCGTGCGAAAACCCAGGCCAATGTCTGCTGGAAGTATACTGCTTTGCTTTTTCCTTGACTAAATGGACACTTTCAAATTATAATTCACATGAATTATCAGCCCTATTCTGCATTTCGATTACGTTCCCGCATTCCGCTCCGCTGGAATTGAACTTAGGTATTCTGCGTTACGATCGAAACGAAAGAAGAAGAGGAAGAGAGAAAACATCTTTCGAAATCAGCTGTTTGCCTAGGAATGTGTGAAATCGAAACAAAACAAAGAAATATTTGCCACCAAACTATAGCAGCATATGAAGTTGAATACGTAGTGAATGTAGCCCTATGGACGGACAACTTCTGAGATACTTCGCCGACCTAAACGGGGTTAGATCGCCGAAAACACAGTCAACGGCGGCAAGAACACACACATCACTTACACCCCACATCACGACACGTCTCCCGAACCACATGAAGCTCCTCCAATTTAACAAGAGCAAGATTGAGGAGATAACCGTCTTCATGTGTCGGCATGGTATATTGATAGCTGCGGTCCAAGAGACGAAGTTGCACAGCAATTCAACTTTGTTGAATTGCGCCGGGTACAACGTGCACCGTCGAGATCGCGAGCGAGATAATGGTGGTGGCTTAGCGTTCATCACGCACCACACC